GGGGGAGAAGGGGTCAGGGACGTCGACTGTCCCCAAACAGGCGATGACACTGCAAAGGCACACGTCTCAATGCCACTCTCGATTCCGGAGGCGGGAGAGGCAGGGAAGAGCAGGGAAGCCAGGTACGCGCTCACGCACAGAGCTGAGTGGGAGGAGGTGTGGGTGGGGGGAGGAGGCCCACAGCAGGAGCAGCCCCCAGGGGAAGGGTCCAGCAGCATGAGAAGATAAGGCAGGCTGGCGAGCTCAGCCCACACAAGCTGGGTGATGGGCATGCAATGGCACACCAGGCGCCCACTGCACCCGCTTCATGGCCTCTCGCAGCAGCCAGGCGCCTCACGTCTGTGCCACCTTCCCCAGGGGGAGGAAGAAGAAGACCTACGATTTTCTCTCTCAAACCAACCAATAGGCCAGGCCTCTCAACCCCACCGTTCCCCCACACAGAGATAGCCTCCCAATATCAATGAATTCACCGCCCCCCCACCACACACAAAAGCATGTTCCCCAAAGTTCAGAGAGCAGAATAATTCTACGAACAAAACCCCATTTGGTCCCCCCCAGGCACCACCAGGAGTGATTCCTAAGTGCAGAGCCAGGAGTAAACCCTGAGCACCCATATGGCCCAAAATACAAAAGGAAAAAAAAAAAAAGAGTTCTAACACAGGCTCCCTTGACCCGAAACACCATTCCAGAAGTAAATGCACATTATCTGGATGCTCACTTCTGTACTGAACATTCAGAATCTAGAGAAAACTCCCATTAGCAGTTACTGGGGTCCAAAACTATTAGATATTGGAGAATAGCTATCAATGAGTGGTAGGGTTTCTATTGGGGTACTCCAGTGCTCTGAAATTAGAGGGTGTGGGGCCAGAGAGATAGTAAAGTGGATTCCCTTGTAGGTATCCAACCTGGTTTGAACCCCGGCATCTCACAAGGTCCCACAAGCCCACCAGGAGCAATCCTTGAGTACAGAGTCAGGAGCAAGCCCTGAGCACAGCCACATGGCCCCACAAACAACAACAACAACAATAATAATAAAATTAGAAAGTGGCGCCAGAGAGATAGTATAATGGGTAGGGGACTTGCCTTGCACACAGCCAACCTGGGTTCCATCCCTGGCACCCCATATGGTGCCTGCTGGGAGTGCTCCCTGAGCACTGTGGGTGTGGCCCAAAATCAAACAAACAAAAAAGGGAGAGAGCCTCTTCCAGTTTGTGGGAATATAAAAAATCAATCCATTCTTTAGCAGGGTGGACATTTATGGTTTGAGAATAGAATCTGTGTAAAGCTGTTACTCAAAAACAAAACAAAACAATCCAAGTGTTATTTCCACCACAGAAAATCACCAATTCAGGTCAGAGAAGGAGTAGTGGGGAGAAGGCGCGTCACCTCCTGGGGGCCAGTCCCATCGGAGCCGAAGCAACGCGGGGCCTCCTGGGCACGGCCGGGTAAACCCATCCCACACCCTTGGCCGCCACGGAACGACAGGCCTGGCTGGCCGGAAACCACCAGCAGGGACCCTTGGGCCTCCTGAACGTGACTTGGGTGACCCCCTACCCCCGACCAAGTTGCCAAATTTCTTTAAGCCTCAGCTTCCTCCTTTGTAAACGGGGATGGGAAGGGTCAGGGACACGGTTCTGATGCACATGAGACCTGGCTTCCGTCCCTGACACCCCACCCCCCAAATACACAAGGATGGGAACGTGACAAGCTCAAACATGGGCTTCGAGGAAAAGATGGGGTGACACGGAGCCCGCCTCAGCCACCAAGAAGCTGCGGGGGGCAGCTCTCGCTGGTTCCTAGCATTTGGAGTTCTTAGCTAGTAGAAGCCGGTGATTTCTGGCTCACACCACAAGATTCCTTCTGGTTTTGTCGTGGTTGTTACTGTGCCACACCCGGCCATGCTCAGAAGTTACTCCTGACTCTGCACTCAGGAATGACTCCTGGCGGTGCTCAGGGGCCCCTCTGGGATGCTGGAGATCAAACCCGAGTTGGCCCCATGCAAAGCAAATGCGCTATACTATCACTCTGGCCCCCACACCACAAAATTCTAAATATCTTAGAGAAACACTGCACTGGGAAGTGATAGTATAGCGGGTAGGGCGTTTGCCTTGCAAGTGGCCAACCCAGGTTCAATTCCCCAGCATCCCAGATGGTCCCCCAAGCACTGCCAGGAGTAATTCCCTATGCATCGCTGAAGTGTGACCCAAAAGAGGTTTAAAAAAAGAAAGAAAGAAAGAAAGAAAGAAACACTGCACTGATTTTCTACTCCATGAGAGCCCATCTGAGAGAGAAAGGGCAGATTCCCTCGAGAGAAGAGACAAAAAGCGGGTGGGAGACAGCTTCATTTATGAGAATAACGTTCTCTCTTCTTGGGGCCGGAGAGGGAGTACAATGGGTAGGGCACTTGCTTTGAGCACGGCTGACCCTGATTTACTCCCTGACACCACATATGGTCCCCTGGGCGCTGCCAGGAGTGAGCCTGAGCGCGGGGCCAGGAATAAGCTCTGAGCACGGGTGGGTGTGGCCCCCGATCCAAAAATAAACCACCAAGTACAAAACCAAAGCTTTCCCGGCTTCCCTCCTCATCCTATCTTGCATGTTTATCTGACCAGGAGGAATCTGTGGGCCCGATACAAAGTGTGGGTTGATCTACTTGGTATTTAGTTCCTATCTCCAAGAAAAGCACGGTCCCTTCCCACATATGAAAATGTATGAGCCCATAGATTCTGCCGCTGCACTCCTGCCATTGTCATGGAAATCTCCAGTTGAACAAGGGAGGGAAAAAAAAATCTCAAATAGCTCATGAAATTTCCAAATGTTTAGTTCTCAGTGAAAGGGTGTTTCTGTGATCCGGTGCTAATTTAAGTGAATCATCACAGTCGTTAACTAAATCGTATCCGTTTTATATTTTCATGTAATGGAAGCCTCTTAAAATGAATAATTTCACATCAAAACATCTGTTGCCTCAGACGCCACCAGTTAGCATTTTTTTCATGCCCCACAGGCTACTCTGGCTTGCAACTTTATTCAGCAGCAAACCAGAAGATAATAAAGTCAGTGCCAAGAACTTTCTGAGCAATTCAACAGTGACAATGGAATTTCAAAAAGATCTGATTGTTTCCAGGTCTAATTAAAGGGATTTCTTCTTAAAGTGTTTTTCAGACAACAGAGAAGAGTTGGTGTTTTCTTCTCCACACTGCAGCCAGTAAAAGATCTTGCCAATCTCTTGAAACTAGCAAGTCACGGGGCAGAGAAGCAAAACCACCGTGGGCAACTCCAACGCTGAGCTGTTATTCAGGGTCACGACAACCAGCCCCCTGCCCCGACACTCACATAAATCAGCTCAAACAACATATCTTGGCTAACTCTCACAGGCGAAACTAAACAGCCCCATGGGTGCCCAGGGTCATTTGTAAAAGTCTTTCTGTCCAGGACATCAGTTATGATGATTTTTCAACCACATGCTTCTCACAATCAACGGAAGAGGGGATTCTTCCATAAATATTTAGGGTGGGAGCACTATCTTTTAGCCCAACAGTATAGTTCGGAAATAACTGATTACAAGTCCATTAAGGAAACAAGGCTAAAAACAATTTGTTTTTTAAAAGCTTCTGGCCACACCCAATGATGCTCTGGGCTTACTCTTGGCTCGGTACCCAGGAATCACTCCTGGTAGGATGGTAGGTTCTCGAACCTGGGTCTGCCGTGGTGCGTAAGGCAAGCACTCTACCCACCCCAGCCCGTGATGCGAAATTTACTTGAGGAATTCCACCAACCCATTGGAGAAGGACAACCATCCCCAAGACTATAAATGATGTGGGAATCTTGTCAGTACAACGGGTATTCCAGCTGCCTCCAGGGCCTCGCAACCATCCCAAACACGGTTCTGTTCTCCGTAAGGGGAGGAGGAACTTTCCTGCCGCCCTCTTCATATTAATCACATTGCAGAAGGGCTTCATTTACTCAGTAATGTGATTAACATGAAAATTATAAGCTGTAGCAGCTATCAGAGCTTCCCCTCTTTGTGCAAAAAATGATACATCTCGTGGGAGATTAAAATACCATTATAGAGGGTGTACCAACACCCTCATTAATCTTTATTGCCACAGCTAAATACCTCCCATTTGCAAACAGGTGTTGGATAACTAGAAAAGTTATCGGGAATCCCAATTACGGTTGCAGAAACAAACAGCTCCGGTTGTCAAAGCTCTCGGATTCCCAAACCATTGCCACCACCGCAGGGGAGGCCCAGGCTAGGAAATGCACATTTTGCAAACAAACTTTTAGGGTCCGTCCTGTTGGGCTGCAGAGCGCACCGATTAAAAAAAGAATCGTGGTGGTGGTGATGGTGCGGCTGAAGTTTGGTGCGTGAATGCTCACGCATCTCGCTCTGAATAAACATGAAAATTCATGGGCAATTTTTGCACGCTTGCTTCCGTGCAAACCTTGCTCGGGAGCCTAAAAATCTTCCCGGCACGGAGGCAGGATTCCGTGTGTTTTCCAAGATGCCATATTGGTGGTTATTTGGATTTCCTGCCTGGAAAACACGGGAAAAAAAAAAAAAAAGGATGACTCCCTCCCGGGGCCAGCCGTTGTAGCCGTTGCAGCCGGGCCGGGCCTGCCCCCGTACAAAGCGCTGGACGGCGCGCAGGTCCCCGCGGCGGCCACCGCGGGCAAGTGGCCCCCGGCGGCCGGGCGGGCGCGGCTGTGCCCCGCGCCCCGCGCGCATCCCCGCGGCCGGGGGTTGTCGGGGGCGGCTCCTCGCCCGATCCCGTCGCCATCCCGGGCCCGGCGCCGGCGGGAGCCGGGACCGGGGCCCGGGGCCCGGGGACAGCGGCCCCGCCCGGCCCCGCCCGGCCCGGCCCCGCGTACCCGCCGAGCGCCCGGCGGGGGCCCAGCACAATGCGCGGCGGCGGCGGCGGCGGCGGGAACCCTCGCGCCGCCCCGGCCCCCGCCCGCCGCGGCCTCCGCCCGGGCCCGCCGCCGCCGCCGCCGCTCACCGTTGCAGAACTGGAGCAGCGACGACGTGTCGTACAGGCTGCCGAAGCTCGAGAAGCCGTCCTCCATGCTGAGGCCGCCGGGCCCGCGCTCACCCCCACACTGAGCCGAGCCGAGCCGAGCCGCGCGGCGGCCGGGCGGGCGCTGGGGCCGGCCTCGCTGTGGCGGCGGCCGCGGCCGGTTACCATGGCAACCCCGGGCCCGCCGCCGCCGCCGCCGCCGCCGCCGCGCGCTGCCCGCTCCGCCCGCTAGGGGGCGACCGGGGCGGGGGACGTGGCCGGGGCGGGGCCGGGAGGGGCGGGGCCGGGATGACCACGCCCACTCCGCGCCCCCGCCCCCGCCCCCGCCGCCCTCCCTCCCTCCCTCCTCGCCATCCCGACTCCGGACGGCCGGACCGGCCGCGGGCCGACGCGCGGACAAAGGACAGGCGCGGAGGACCACGGCGGCGGCGGCGCGGGGCGGGGCGTGGGGAGAGGGATGCTGCTGCCCCCGCCCCCTCCCCTTTCTCAGTGCACCCCTGAATCTCCCGCGGCCTCTGGACAACTTGCTGGGCCCAGGAGGCGCGCCCCGAGGTTCCCAGGCGTTGCCTCCCCACAAGCAGGAATGAGCGCGGTGACCTGAGGACACAGGACCCCGGGGAACAAGCGTCTCCCTCCCCCCCCATTCTCCAAGGAGCCTTGGGCGTGACCAGGCTGGGAGCCCGTATGGTGCCCTGTGGATGTGTCCGCAGCCGAAGCGCCTCTGCTCTCCCCCCACCCCGCCCCCTCCTTGCTGATCTGCCCCCCCCCCCTTCACCTGGCGCTCTGGTCAACTGTCACAGGACCTAGGACAACCTGCACTGAAGGTGTCCAGGAAAGAGAGTCCACAGCTGTGTGCCAGTGGCACCCGCCAGGGTCCCACCACCCCTTAGGGAAGGACCGAGAGCAGCAGCCCAGGCTGGCTTGATGCGGTGGACACACTGACACACCGTTTGTGCTCCACGTAGTGCTTGGTTACATTCAGTAATAGCACTATCACTATTATCCCGTTGTTCATGGATTTGCTCTAGTGCCAGAAACGTCTCCATTCGTCCCTGTCATGTGCTAGTGTAGCCTGATGGCATACTGGGGGCTTGTTCAGGGTCAGGGGAATGAGGACCATCATTGTTACTGTTTTTGGCATATCAAGTATACCACGGGTAGCTTGCCAGGCTCTGCCATGCGGGCAGTATACTCTCGGTAGCCTGCTGGGTTCTCTGAGATCAAAAACTAGCGGCCGTGTGCTTCCGGGAGCTTGGCTTTATAGTCTCTGGATCTTGGCTGTTGTTGGGGTTACATGGCAGTTGGTGGGAGCAACTGTCTAGCTACTGGAAGATGGGGGATCTGGGTGGAGGAGGCCCAATTCTGGACCAGGCAGGCTTGGAGATCTCAGCCCCGGGTTCCGCACACCTGGATTCCTCTCCTGGTTCCTTCATGCGTGAGGCTCATCCGAGTGGTCTTAGCATGGCTGTGGCTGGGTCCCAGAGGTCTTCAGCTGCCACAGCTCTGCTCAGGGCAGAGAGGGAAACTCAACCCACCCCCCTTCAAGGGGCCTGGTGAGGATAACCAGGTGTGGGGGCAGGAGACTCTGCGTTGTTCTCTTCCGGGAGCTGGGTTTTATAGTCCCTGGATCTTGTCTGTTGGTGGGGTTACACAGCAGTTATTACATTCAGTAATAACCAGTAATGGTTCAGAAGCTATGGCAGATAGACACCTTGGAATATTAGGTAGCAGCCAACCAGGATCGACACCTCAGCACCATATGGGGTCCCCTGGGCCCCTCCAGAGCCAGGAGTAAGTAAGCCCAGAGCACAGTTTGGGATGGCCCCAAAAAAGAAAAGAATGGGCTCCCAAGCAGGGCTCAGATCCGGGGGGCCAGGCCTGGCCGTATTCTGACAACAGAGCTTGTAGCCTCAATGTGAGGGTCCAAGTAGGCCACACTGCCCAGGCCCTGCAGTGCCAGAGACCACCACGGTCATTCCGCAGAGCGGGTCGTGTCCAGGACCACACCCAGAGTACTCAACGAGCCATGCAGTGCTGGCGTTTGAACTCGGGTCCCCATGCACTGTCTGTCTGTCCTCCCGTTGTTCATCGATTTGCTCGAGCGGGCCCAGTAACGTCTCCATCGTGAGACTTGTTGTTACTGTGTTTGGCATATCAAATACGTCACGGGTAGCTTCCCAGGCTCTGCGGTGTGGGCGAGATACTCGGTAGCTTGCCGGGCTCTCCGAGAGGGGCGGAGGAATCGAACCCGGCTCGACCGGGTTGACTGTACGCAAGGCAAATGCCCTACCGCTGTTCTATCACTCCAGCCCTGGGTCCCCATGCATCAAATGCAAACTACTCCCCCAGCCCCTTATGCCAACAGAAGATCAGGGTTCTTGACATATGTTGGTAATGGCATAATATTTGGTGTCACACCAAAGAAAGATTAGAAAATAGAGAAAAATCAGAAGGGGGCCAGGAGAAAAATTTAACTGGAGGTTTTCTTAGATCTTACTTCCGCTAGCGCCACATTACAAATAACAATGAAATCCCAGCCTGCTTGCTTTTGAGAGGATAAAGATCATCATTACATGCTTAACTTAGAGTATTAAACAACGAGGTTTTTCCCACGATGGTAAAATTGTGCTCTAAAAAAAGCCAGCTCGAGTATAATTACAAGGACACGCATGGTAAGTCAATTACAGATAAGCTATATGGCATTAAAAAAAAATCTATGGAGAAAAGCGCTCAAAACAAATCTCTGAAAACTTAATTAATAATGTGGGGTTTAGGCGCCCAAACATTTTCACAGATTCCCTTTCCACATCATTTTGAGATCACGCATGGCCCGAGTCCAAAACGTGTTGTCATTGTAGTACATGCGGTACGCTCTCTAGGACAATAGAATGGGTATCAGCACCGCATTTGGTGGCATTAATAGCAGTGTGTGTACAGCCTGTGAAAGAGAGAAAGGAAAATGGGAGCTCTGAGATCTTTATTCACAGAGAAGGAAGGGGGAAAAACAGTTGTTTTTTTTTTTTAAATCCAGGAACACAAGATGATACACATCTGCTCTTTGAACTGAGAACCCTCCAGAACTAGGGATCTATCCTCAGGCACCCCGGACAGGGTTTCCATCTGGTCGGAGGCCTGAACTCTGTATACAGAGAGCCACACTATCAAAAAGGGCATGGTGGAGGGCTGGAGCGATAGCACAGCGGGTAGGGCATTTGCCTTGCACGCGGCCAACTCAGGTTCAATTCCAGCATCCCATATGGTCCCCTGACCACCGCCAGGAGTGATTCCTGAGTGCAAAGCCAGGAGCAACTCCTGAGCATCGCCGGGTGTGACCCAAAAAGCAAAAAAAAAAAAAAAAAAAGGCATGGTGACACTAAATATCCCCAGGGTGAGAACTCTGGGGCCTTCTCGGAATGGGGACGGGCAGATTCCCCTTCCTGCCCGAAGGCCCGGCTGCCACCCACAGCACAACACCCTCCCTCGTGGCCTGCCCATAGCTGAGCCTCATCACACTGCCAGGCCACCACACTGTTCCAGCTCCATAGCTCTAGAGCGACACCTCTAAATTTCACAGCACTGGCAGTCCCTCAAGACCATGGCAAATCTGACGGGAAAGGTGCCCAGAAAAAGAAGCCCACCAGGCTCAGGGACCCTAAACAGCAACACAAAGGCCCGACTAGCCCCAAGCAGCCAGGAGATGCCCAGACAATGGCTTTATCACACCCCTGCCAGACAGAATGATGTGTACAAATAGATTCTGATGGACCTCAGATTCCATAATTCCATTTGCTCTTTTTTTATATATATTTTATTTTATTTTATTATTATTAGTGAGACACCATGAGGTACAGTTGTAGACTTACAAATTTTGTGCTTGGGTTTCAATTATACATCCATTTGCTTTTGAGTTGTACCAAACAGTATGAAATAAGTTTGTTTGTGCCTGTTAAGGGTTGCAGGATGGGGTGGTGGGTGGAAGCTGGGGACATCAGTGGAGAGAAGGTCCCACGGGAGGTGGGACTGGTGTTGGAACACCTGAATGCCTGAAACAGCTGTAGCATAAACAACTTGGTAAATCACGATGTTATAATTAAAAAAACAAAAAGAAAATAAAATAAGGAGCTGAATCAACTTGGGAGGAAAGGTATCTGGTACTCAGGTGGGTTACCTGGCTCTCTACTCAGGTTCCTAGTAGTAATCCAGGGACCGTATGTGGTGCCAGGGACTGAATCAAACATGGCCCAGCTGCCTGCGAAGGCAAAACCTGGACTATTTCTCGAGCCTCTCATCCGCAGTTTAAGAAGCCACAGAAAGTTCCAGCCACTAAGTGGCCTTGCTGCCCACCTGTCTCAGGATAAATTTATTCACAGCAGGTGGACCGCAGAAGCACCTGTGTACCGTGGACAGCGGCCCGGGTAGACAAGGATGGTCCATTGTTTACCTTTGGTCCTTTGTCCATTGACAAAGACTGCTAATGACCTCTTGGCGGACAGAGCAATCCATGGCTTCCACTTAGAACAAGGACAGGAACGAGCAGCCGGGAGACGTATAAGGCTGTGAAATCATGTGGACTGGTCCCAGAGCGTGACCTGTGCTCCTCACCTGTGTGTTCCGCATGGCCTAGGAGTGATGTCATAACATCAGTTTCCCGGCCCTGTTCTAGACTCACAGTCTCACCAGCAGGAACAAAGGGCTGAGGGCAGGAAGCTTAGTGCTTAATGGGGACAGTGTCCACTTGGGATGATGACATCCTGGCGATGGACAGCAAAGACGGATCCCAAAAAGGGTGAATACATGTAAAACACACACACACACACACACACACACACACACACACACTTCACCCTTAAAACTCTGAGAGGGAGCCAGAGAGCTAGTACAGCTTGTAAGATGCTTGCCTTGCATGCGGCTGACCTGGTTTCAACTGTCAACATTACATGTGGTCCCCTGAGCACCATCAGGAGTGATCCCTGACCACAGAGCCAGGAGTAAGCTCTGGTTTACTCAGACAGGGCCACCCCCTCCCCAAACAAATAAGCAAACAAAAATCTTGAAGAAATGGCGAGATTGCACAAAGAATGAGGACTTTGCTCAGCACCCCCTCACTCCTGATTCGAATCCCAGGCGCCATATATGATCCACTGAGCCAGGGTCACTCCTGAACATGGAACAGGAATGGCCTCTGAACACAGCC